CCGTCAAGCCCTTGGTCTCAGAGCAAAACAGAGTGGCAATCATGTCTAAAAAGTCCTACAAACTGATATACTTTAGAGCAAGAGGACGTGCAGAATTCATTCGCCTCGTTTTCTTAATCGCTGGAGTGGAATTCGAGGATCACCTTGTTGATTTTCAACAAAACTGGCCTTCATTGAAAGCAAGTAAGCCAATGCCCATAATCTTTTTTGTGCAATACTTGCAAACATAGGGTGCATATACCGTGAAGATTGGAAGGGTCCTTCAAGAAGGGTATGGTTAGCGATCTGGTGCAAAATTCACAAGTTTCATATTCATTCATCAGACTCATATTTAATGATTTCATTCTTGCTCACGAATATGTCATTTAACATGTACACAAATTCACTTTCAACGACATATTTCTTAGTTACGAATACATTCATTCACATTCAAAACATATATTCATTTACATTCCGAGTCTTTTAATTTTTCAGTCAAGCGAGGTCAAGCGTACCCCCCTAAGATTCCATTAATGAATTTATTATTCGAAAGTTGTGCGTCAAAACAACGTACCAAGCGCGCGATAAAGAAATAGTCGAAGTGCCGTGGTGTAGCACTTTATGACAAAGTTTTAACTGGATTGAACTTGTTGCTATCTGATGTACACCTGTACAGTCTATGTTTGCAATCGCTGCCTAACGAATCACTGGGTTACACTGTACTTACGGGCGTTTGCCTCGCGCACTCTTCAAAGAAAAAAAAGCTATATTCCGATTCACCAAAAATCAAGCTTTGTTTTCCCTAAAATTTTGACACTATATTGGGCCGCGAAAAAAGAGCAAGAACAAGAGAACAAATTTGGCTTTCATGGGTTTCAACACAGAGGTGCAGTAAATTATCAGCACAATGATAGAACACAAACATTGTCATCTAACTCCTGGCACAAGCCATGTAAATAAAGCATATAACAAGAAATCGTCGTCAAATGGTCTCGATAAGTAAACTATACTTAACTTTGCGAAACAAGTTTATCGCTTGTATTTGTGTGTTAAGCATCGAAAAAGCGAAGAGTCATCGCATGACTGATTAGGTAGCAGAGGTAAGAATGACGGATTTCACTAGTTCTATGCACGATTTTTCGCCCAGTAATAAATTTAAAACTTCATTTCTTACCTTACAGTAGTCGGTTCTTTTACCTTACATTCACCAACACTAGGAAACGCGAACAAAGCGATGAAATCCGGCACTCTTCTTTCACAAGTAGCAAGCCGCACGATGCCGCATTAAGTAAAATCCACTGATATGCACTGCATTCTCACTACAAGTATAAACATTTGTCGTGGGAAAAATACGACGAGGAGGAAAAGATGCCCGATCTTCGCCTCGGCAATGTATTCCAGAAAGTGGACTCGAAGTGGGAAGAACCTTGTCATTTTCTTAGAAGCCCTTTGCGCGCAAACTAATTTATTCTGGTGCGAAATAAAGATTAAGAAAATGTATCTTAAATCTAATGCACGACAAGAAAATTTTCGCACGTTCGAGGAGAACGACATATTAAATGGGATATAAAAGTTGGATTATCTGCCCGCGAAGAAAACATCTCTGCGTGGGATTGTACTTCCAGTGAAAAGCCTCTGTGTCCTCTTATGCGGGGATTTGGAAGTGCGGGTAAAACTAGACGTCAAGGCTAGAAAATAAACAATAAACGACAGCAATGGGGTGAGAGAAAAAGAAACGTTTTTACCCTGCATGTGATCCTGTCAACTCGCGCGAGTTGTAAAACCTATGCCACTCGTTTCATGGACAAGTCTCATTTTGTTGCATTAAATGTTGTTGAATAAGTCACCGAAGTGATGCGCATAAATTTCTCAATATACCCCGGCCGTTTAGATCCTAAGACGAGGACAACTACGAAAACGAGATTTTCTAAATACCCAAATAGTGCGCGCGCGTAAACCGAGGTCATTGGTGGGAAAACGTGGTAGCTGCCGTCAGTCTCCCAAAGGTTTCAGCAAAAATGTCGCAGTGACAGAAAATAGTTATCAAATGTTAGAAGTTTTATCACCTTGCGATCATGGAAGATCCTAACTTCCTTCAATAAAAAATGTTAAATCGTGTTAGTTTTTCTGGTGAAAGCTTTCCGAAGTGTCTATTTTCTGAGAATACGAGTAAAACAATTAAGTTAAATCACCTTCTCGTAGTCGTGCTCTTCCTTAAAACCAAAGGTATCTAATGTATGTCTTCTAGGTGGCATTGCCCCATTTGGTCAGCTCCCTTTACTGGAAATAACAGATGATAGCAGTCCAAAGCCTATTCTCCTCTGTCAGTCTGTGGCCATTATGCGATACCTGGCAATTGAATTTGGTAGGTGCAAATAGTTATCGAAAAAAAAGTTAAATAAAAAAAAAATCAAATAAAAGATAGCTAAAATCATTTCAAGATTTTTTTTTCCACGTAAAAAAAAGTAACATGCTTAGAATTTATAAATACTTAGTAAACACTGAGTAAAAGAGTAGTTCTTTTCAGTTAATTATAACAGTCACAATTATGGCGGACGTGACGTCATTTGACTAGAAACGCTCTATAGAAGTACCTATTAATGGCCTACACTATGAAACAGCTCACCATTCTCTGTTTAAGGTCTGGCACCCGAAAGTAACTTAGAAAAAGCTTTGGTGGATATGGTTGTGGATGCAGTAATGCACATCAGGGCCAAAATAAGAAAGTGCAGATTTACAACTGATGCTACACTTAAGGTACATTCAAAATCATGCTAGTCATTGTGCTGAACATATATAAGTCAATATATAGATTTCTTATCTGCGAGTTAAAGGTTGCCCAATCTGAGGGAATCCGGAGTCCGGAATCCGGATACCGGGAAATTTTTGCTTGTGGAATCCGAAATCCAACAAATTTTTGCTTCGGAATCCGGAATCCTGGAAAATTTTTGAATCCGGAATCCGAGTAATTTTGCTTGTGGAATCCGGAATCCGGGAAATTTTTGTTTCGGAATTCGGAATCCTGGGCTTTGGAGTATGGAATAGAGCTCAAGGAATCCGGAATCCTACTAACGATTCGAATCCGGAATCGGCAGGTTCCATTGACAAAGTATTCGGTCAGAATCCAGTACCTGGAATCCGAAATCTATGGCCTGGGACTGGCTCGGATTCCCATACATTTTATGGGTTGGTAAAGGGCTCGTCAGTTTTTTTTGCAACATTTTCAGTTGTTATTTCTGCATCACAAGAAATCTTATTTATCATAACGATTTCGACATTGCTGATCCTAGCAGTACGCAGGACGCATGTCATACAAGAACCTTGTATATGGCCCAACTCGCCCTTCGTAGCTCAGTGGTTAGAGCATCCGACCGGTTCAATTACTGGCGGGGACTCATATTCTTTTTGTCCTATGTTCATGACATTCGAGCCCTGGGGAACTCCAGATTTCAATACTTTAGAATCAGATAAGGTTCCTGCAATGTTGACACACTGTCGGCGGTCTAACAGGTTGCTTTTGAATCACAGTAATGCACGAAAGAAAACCTCAAATGGTACTTAAGGTAACAATTTAAGCTCCAATATCCATATTTAAATTTTTCAAGCTGAACTCCGTACATTTCCTTAAGGATTACCGTAAACTGCCGCTTATAAGTCCATCCGCTTATAAGCCCCCCCCGGTTATAGGTCTACCTACCACCTACGTTCAAACCTGTTTTGTAACAAATCAGCGTGTTGTAAGTTGTGTGAATACTGACCCTAAGTGGATAATGATGGGAGTTACTTGCTGCAAAACAAGTTTGCCTTGGGCCGGTAAAACGGGCAACATGTGCAGATTTTATTGGAAAAAATAGCACTTTTCTTTACATTCTGCAACAACTTGATTTGTCGCAAGACTGGCTTAATCCGAGGGTAGTAAAACGCCCAATATCGCTATTCAACTCGTTTTACAACAAAGTTGCAAAACAAGTTGCACTTTTTGTTGCTCGTTTAACTGTACCAAAAGCCATTATGGCTCTTGACCCTATCTCACACTTTAAAGGGAAAAACAACACTGCCGGAGGTCATAGCAAACTTTCTCCCCATTCTCCTATTTCGTGGACTCCTACACTAGAAGCTGATTCATTTCACTGATTGATTTCGCTGATTATTCTCCAATAGTTAATTAAAGATGTGAAGCCTGAGGTTTGCGTTGTAAAAGCCGAAATAAGGCATCATTTTTTACACCAAGGAGCATAAAATGTACATGGAATTTTCTTTCAGGAAAAATTACTAAAAGAATTTCAAGGAGCTCTGCCTAATGATCTCAAGAACCTTGAAAAGATTTTACAGGCCAATAGTGGTGGAAAGGGGTATTTTGTTGGAAAAGAGGTATGCACTGCCCATTTTTTTCAGATTATTTACTCAAGGCAGTCCTGAGATAAGGGCGGGGCCCCGTCTCCAAAAAAATTTTTTTCGGCCCTTCGGGCCTCATTTTGGTCTAAAAATAAGGGGGTGAGCCGGGCCCCCCGGGCCCCTCCCCTAGATCCGCCACTGCAAGGTTTCTTTACCCCCCTTTTTTCCACCAGGAAATAAAGTAATTTTAATTTTCATTGGACAAAAACCTTGTACCAGAATAATTTAAAGAATATTGCATTCTTTTTCACATTTTTCGGGGGTTAGGGATGTAATTAGTTATCTGCAATAACACCAAAGAAAATTAAATTTCTTACGGGAGCCCGAGAGATAATTGTCAAATTTCACAAAATGACATCTTACACATAAAATTTTCAAAATTTTACCTGTGTTTTCAAACTTAGTCAAAAGCAAATTTCAACCAAATGTCCAAATTTCATATTGTGAAATTTTGAATGACTAATAGCATCATATGTAAGAACAGGCAGAGAGCTTTCATTTGAATGGTCACATCATAGGATTTCGTCCACAGACTCAAAAGTTAGAAACACCTTACAAAACTCTATCAAGCACTCTGGCAGTGAAAGAGTTGAAGTAGTATTTTTTTTTCTTTCCAGCTTAGCTATGCAGACATTTCTTTCTTTGACTTTATGAACAGCTGGGTCGCAAAAGACAAGATCAACGGTTACCCAACCGAATTGGAAGATTTTCCTTTGCTACGAGGGCTTTATGAACGCGTCCGAGACATACCAGCCGTAAAGCAACGTCTAGAGACCAGGCCAGATACAGCTCTGTGAAAGAGTGGAATACTACCGTATTTATTCGAATAAGCGCCCAACCTCGAATTAGGACCCACTTCGAATAAGCACCCATCCTAAAGGCAGGAAAAGTTAATAAGCGTCCACCACCACCCCCAACCCCTCCTCCCACTCAAACTCAAATAAGCGCCCACCCCCACCCCACCCACTTGAGTGACAATGAGATTGAAACTGAAATTGAATAAGCACTAAAAAGAAGACTTCCCGAGGACGGAGTTTTCTTCAGAGTATTTTACAGAAACCTTCCTTTGTTACTTCTTCGCGTTTTGTCATTAGCTTTTATTGTTTTGTTGTAAAATAAACATACTACACTTGCTGAAAATGGTGAAAATTTAATAAGAGCCCACTCTCAAAGTCCAAAACTTTAATAAGCGCCCAGGGCGGTTAATCGAATAAATACGGTACTCCCTATAATGGCCTATACGGGGAGGTTTCGCTCCGGGTACGTTTTTTAGGCCTCACGGGTATATATGAAAGTGGTAGGGAAATTACGAGTTGAGTATATGAAAGGAAAGGGAAATCTGTCATAAGAGTATTAAAAAGAAATTTTAATTAAAACGTTCCAAAAAGACCTGCCTTATGGTTATCATTCTAATTTTTATAAACGTTAAGTTAGACGAAGACTTCCCGTTTAACAACGTTTATTCTTATAAATTATTTTTCCACTATTATGTCATTTTACCATATAAGGTCAAGAGAACAAAATACGAGGCCGTAATACACTGTAGTGTCCTAGTTTAACCGGTTTACAACAAGGCGAATACCGGCGGATGCAAAAGGAGCAACTATGGCTGACAGAATCAGGATGTTTTGGATACTCTTACTAGAAAATAGAAGCCAACACAACATTTTTCTTTTACATTAAAAAAAAATAACCTCTCATAATAATAATTTTTTTTGTAGTGGAATAATAAACCTCTTATTCGATTGTTTAGCATATAATACGAGCAGACATTTTGCTCATTGCTCGTATTTTTCCTCGCCCCTGCGGGGCTCGGAAAAATACAACGCAACCCGCAAAATATCCGCACGTATTATATGCTAAACCATCGATTAAGGTGTATGTATATATGTTAAAGGGGTACCATTTTTAATGAAAGGTCATACAAAAGGGGTCCTTTTCCTGTCAAGGAATGGTATAAACAGGGCGGAGCCCATAACCCGGAGCTAGTAACTGCAATACTAGGTGTATGTCACGGCGTTTTACGGACTAGATTATTTTTAGACACATTTTAGGGTACTTTTTCCCGCGAAAATAGAATCTCCGCCATGTCTATAAGCGCATTCGAAGTATATGAAAGGAAAACTAAACGTTATTCAAGGCAAAAAATATCATTTTTTTTAATTAGGTCTGTGGGTAGCTGTAGGTTATGCTGACTGGTTTGTGGAATTTAAAAGATTTTCAAAATTCGCGCCAAAACCGTTCTAAAAATAAACTGGTCCGTAAAAAAGGCCGTGACACGAGCGCATGGAAGTTGCTCGTTCCGGGTTATGGGCTCCTGGGACTCAGCTCCTTTAATAGTGGCGGGGAAAGGAGGTCCAAACCTACCTGATTCTAGCCTGTTCCAGGTGTTCACATAGTAGAGCGCGGCAGAAAAATTTTCGTTTCCCTCCCTCCCTCCCCCCTGCGCTCTACTATCTGAACGCCTGGAACAGGCTACCCAAGGTAGGTCCAAACCTACCGCCTCCCGTACCTTGCGTTTCCCACCAGCTTTATTGATTGCGAAAGTCTTAGCATTGTTGGGTAGCCTGTTCACAAATCCTCTATTTTCTCTTCAAAGTCTGTCGAACGCGCGTGATAAAAAAAAATTAAAAACCGCGGGAGATATGTTGACCGCCAGCGTAAGGGGGTAGGGCTGGGGGGAAATGTTCTTTCTTTTTCTTTCTCGCGCTCGCGGAAAGAAAAATAAAACAATAGCCTGTGTCAGGCTACTGTTGCGTGGCTTCCCACTATTCATCCTGCTTCCCACCTTTTAGAACTCCACCCGGCTTCTCCTCTGTCTTCTTGACACACAAGGAACAGAATTTCGTATGTCTTTGTAACTGGAAATACGTCTTTGTGTTTATGTCAGCTTAACACTTTCCAATACATGCATCAGCAATTGTCTTGGATAAACCGAGGGGCCTACACTCATAGTACTACCATTTTTTGGACTTGAGATCTACGCTTTGATCCCAAGAACTCCAAAGAGAAAACTTTTCTTGCTTAAAGTAGCTAAGTCATGCTGTTTGCTATCTTTTTTAAAAATCTAAAACTTGTCCTCGAATCAGTTGAATTCCAAAACCAATGGCAGAAAAGCATTTTTATTTAAAAGTATATTACGGCATTGAAACTGTCTCCTGTCGACGGTTGCTACGGATGGCGAGGATGGACATGGATTAAAAACTTGAAAAACTGGGCCAATTTGTTCACTTTTCAACGGCTATGACTGAAAAATTCAGCAAAACATTATTATGGACAGTGCTCCCTGATCAACGATCTCAGTTGCGCAACTGCTAAATATGAGTGATGAAGAACTTCAGTTCAGGCTTTGTACTTTCTACAAGCTATTATCCTAAAAAATGCTTTACGATAAAATCTGCTCATTAAACCATAACAGACAGGATGCAGGGCGCTTGGAAAACAAGTCAGCGTAAAAACAAGCCTCCTAAAAATGTGACGCGGGGGCCCTTACACAAATGCATCAACTCGAAATTCTAACAAAAGAAACTGAACCTGATACGGAATATAACAAATTACGAAGACTAACACCAAAGCATAAATCATTTTTAGGAGGTCGTTTTCCAGTTCAAATGCGTCTGGATATTTGTTGAGTTTATTCTTTCGTCGGTTTGTATCCTGAAATACTTGGGACTTCTTTTTACCTTTGTACTCGAGCTGGGTATCTTCTTCGTTTTTGTCGCCCCGTTGGTTTATCAGGCCTCTTTGCCCTGATTGCAATTCCTGTATGCAAACTGAATTCTGTGTGACGCTTGACGATGCTCTTTCCTGCTCATCATTAAGTCGTTCTATAACAAAGATGTGTTCTCTAATCTTCTTGTCGACCAGAGCGTAGGAAATTATCATTATGACAAGTGGCAAGGCAAAGTTGATCACGAATAAAACCACGGAGTAAATATGCTGATAGTGTTCCAATCCTTGAGGGAATTGTTCCGTGCAGAAACGCAACTCGCAATTGTCACCCCATGAAGTCAGCACTCGAAAGTGCCCTGAAGGAAATGACAAACCAATAGATCCCATCCAACTGAGAAGAATAGCAAGACAAACGTTTCCTCGAGTTGATTTTGTTATCGCGGGTTTAATGAGCAGAGCACATCGGTAGACAGCAAGAATGGCCAGGGATGCTGTGATAGCAAGGGAACTTGTTACCTGTAGAGAGGGGAGAATCTTGCACATGGCACTCCCCAGCTCCCAAGACCAGGGTCGTTCATATGCGTGGAACATGAATACTATACAAACCATGTTGATAATTTCAGCAAAAGCCAAGTTGCTGACTAAGTAATGTGCGATCGGTTTGGTTCCATTGTGTCTCCAAACAGCTCGACACACCACATAATTTCCAACCAAGGCGAGAGCTGCTATCAGGCTGAACAAGACCGTGCGGGTAATTCGTAATGCTTCGGGTTCAGGAGTGAAAGCAAATGAGCTGTTTGAGGCGTTGGATGCTGAAATGGAACACATCTTTAGAAACGTTCTAGAACATATGTCGACTTCTTAGCTGTTACAGGTGTTGGATATTGAAATGGAACACATTCCAAGAAATTTTGTTGAATATACGTCGGTTTCTTTGCCATTAAACAGCTGCAGTGTGTCTCCAAACTTAATTCATCGGATCAGCACTCTTCTCCAACCAGGGCGAGTGCTGCTAAGCTAAAAAAGACAGTAAAAATCACGGCAGGAGCTGACGAAAACCGCCCTTGTTTGTGACCGGCTGTGATGTCGAATTTACACTGATTAAATGCGCAATATCTTAAAAATAATCACCGTTTTTTTTCTCTCAAACTGTTTGCAGAAAAGTACTTCCGTGGTCAGGTTTTAGAAAACAGGCGATGAATCTTGGGTTGGGTATTCGTCAAAATTTGTTCATTCGCTTGAAACTGATCCGGAGTGAACGTTCGCTAGTTCGTGGCGATCTAAACTATCATTTGTTTTCGAGAAGATAAATAAATTTAGATTACTAAAAGCAAATATCGGCTCTTGCAATTCTGGATTCGAGTAACTGTTAGCTCCTTTTTAAAAATTGCTGGAAAAGCAAAAATGTTTTGAAAACACCCAATAAAATCTCGTAACTGCTGGTCATAATAGTCTGAAAACAGGACTGAAGCTTTGGCAACAGTTTTAAATCAGTTTGTCGAGCAAGTTTTGAAATAAATTTTGGACAGGATGTTTGAGCAATTAATTTAAAAATCATCATGTCTGGATCAAAATTTCGGCATTTTTAATAATGGAATCGATAGCCAATGCCAAAAGACAGCACGAATTGTCAGTCAAATGTCATATAATAATTCGCATTTATTCAGTAGGTTATCGGCCTGAAGCGATGGGGTTATGAGATATACACCTTAATTGCAGTAACGTTGTCATAGGAGAATGAAAAAAAAACAAAACGTAAATTGTAAAAATCCAAACAGGAATAACTTAGGCTTACTAATAAAATACTTTCGAGTGCATTTATTTGCAACATACGCGAACAGCCGTCGTATTTTCATTATTTTTTTTGTGCTCTAAAAATGCCTATGTATTAAATTAAGAGAGAGAAAGAGCGCAATGGTTTACACAGATATAACAGCGACGCTCAGGTTTGGAATTTTCAAAACCGCTTCGGGCGTGATTTGAATACGCCCTGAGGCTAAGCAAGTTTTTGTGCGAAGTCGGGTTCCCACGCAACTTGAATTTCCATCACAAACGGTGCTCCAAGTGCTTTGTGTGTATTTACCCAGAAGAATACCGCCGATCAAACGTGTCACTCACGGCAGGAGCCTGTATGGGCTACTGCTCACGGCCATTTCAATTTATTCACAGTGTTGTCAATTTGCTCATGGTAATTCGCCACTTTAGAAACGAGAAGGGAATGAATTCCTTGTCTCTATAGTAACCCAGAGTCCCAGGGGTCTTTGCGAAGTTAACTCGGCCCAGTTTCCTTCACGATAATTTTCGCCATCTTTAAACGATACGCGCAAGACCTACTGGGATTTATTTGTAATTCCACTGACAAGTAGGCTAATCAATCCGTGAGATATAATTGTCTTGAGATCAAAATTAAAATTGCCGTGAACAAATTGAAATTGCCGCGACATGGCCTACTAAGTGTGAAAAAAGTGTTTATATGCTAAAAATAATTCTGATAGTCTCACATTTGTACTTTACACTTATGCACTTTACACACCTGCATTTCAATTATTGATTGATCACTTTTTATTTAATTTTATTCATTGATTCATTCATTCATGCGCCTATTTATAAATTGTACGGAATAAATCATCGCCGCATCTAAATTCTTGACGTAGAGCCTAATACGGGGTGGGGGGGATTCAACGAAGTTTTAAAGGGGGAAACTCTACCCCGAAGTCCAACCCCTTACTCTTTAATACTATTTTTACAGAAAAGGTACCCCTTTCTTATACCTTCTATTGACAAACTTAGTTCAAAACACGCATCTCTTTTAACTGCTGTAGATGCACCGTTTTTATATATCAAAAAGCTTTAGACCAGGAAGTTTTCTTGTCTCTTTCACAAACACAAAAGTGTCGCTTTCTTATACCTGAAACCTAAAAAAGGTATCCCTTTGGGGCGCAGTCTCCCTGTATAGGCGATAGGGAAAAGCCTGCCTCCCCCCCTCCGGGGCCAAACGAAAATTAATAGGGAGTTTAAGCAGCGACGTTTTTGAGCAACTCACGTCGACCGAAAGTTGAGTTTTTGCACTCTTGAGCCGCGATTTTGAACAAATTTTTGGGCAAATTGTCTCTTATTTAAGAGTAAAGACACTTAGCAATACATATTTGGTATCAAGGGTATCCCTTTGGGGAGTAGTCTCCCCGTATAGGAGATAGGGAGAAGCCTCCCCCCTCCGGGGCCTAACGAAAGTTAATAGGGAGTTTAAGCAGCGACGTTTTTGAGCAACTCACGTCGACCGAAAGTTGACTTTTTGCACTCATGAGCCACGATTTTGAACAAATTTTTTGGCAAATTGTCTCTTATTTAAGAGTAAAGACACTTAGCAATACAGATTTGGTAGCGTCAAGGCGTATTAAAAGTGATAAAGGCTCACTTCCGATTGAGTTGCGTCGCTCAAAAACGTCGCGTAACTATAGCCTGCGTGGCAGGCGCAAAAAGAGGAGGGGGGAGGGAGAAAGGGAAAAGGAAAGGGAGCGCCTGCTCTAAGAGCCTATGTTTTTGCATAACGCCTACCAATTTTCTAGTAATCCAATTACGCTTACTGTCAATCAAGTGTCGCTACACTCGCCATGCAGAAAAACATTACACTCACGGACTAAAGAAATTCACTTAGTTATTCAGATCCAGAAGGCACTTTGGAGAAAATTGGAACCCTTACTCAGCCGTAATAAAAAAGCTTTACGCTTCAAAAGAGGTCAAAGAAATTGCGCTTGCATCAGAGGGCAAATCCTGCCGACCAGGAAACAATAACTACAGTCAATCGATATGTTTGTCATGACCTCTCAGTGTGAAACATGCGGCTTAAATAACATTTGCTCAGTATAAATGCAGACCAGAGCATAATCTACCCAGCAGGTAAAAACAACTTTATTGGATATAAGCAGCATTTTGGCATGAGGTAAAACCACCCTCTTTTATTGCTAAGTTACATCGGCGAATGTCATCGTTCGATAAATTGGCTAAATCTTTCGCTGGACGGGCGCCTAATCCCTTAAATAAGCTCTATAAGCCCAACAATTCCATCTCCTGCAACTGGTCTTCGATAATACTTTTCAGTGGCGAAATGACGAGAATCGCCGCATTACCATTTAGCTCGTAGTTCTTCGCGCGTACAAACATTTGGTAAATTAAACTCTTGCCGTATCCGGTCCGCAAAACCGCCAGAACATC